TGCAGATCAACAACACTTGCGATTTGGTTGCTGGTGGGGACAAGATCTACATGTCCAGCAGGAATCGAAACCAGTTTTTCCAATTGCGTGAGATGCGGCTTGGCTGCTGACAGCACTCAAACGCCAAGAGTTTATATAATAAATAGCTGATATGTAATGATTTGTTATCAACATACTATGCATATTGAATATAAACTATACTATACTATAATTTATTGGATCCTAAAGTGGGGTTGTTTGCATTCTAGATCTGGCCAAGTTCAAGTTAAACATTATCTAGTTTCACCAGCAATTTCCCCAATGAAAGATTTTCCCAACCTAGGTTTAGCTTTGGCTCTGGTGAATGGCGCTCTGGGAAGGAGTCGTGGTGGGAATTTGGGAAACATGTTTTGATTTTCTGCTTTTTTGTTAAAACCCTGGACATCCTGGGACTTCTATGGCTGTCTTCTGGGAAACCTCAGGAGGCGAGCGAGACAACAGAAGATCCTGATGGCCGTTGGTTCTCCTTTGATATCTCTGGGTCGGACTACATCATCCTCGAGAAGAAGTCCCTACCCACCCACCTTCAGGCCTTTGAGAATGCTGACACGGCCGTCACACTGCAAAGCATCATCAGTGACCTGCAGGATCTTGGTGAGGCTTGGGTGTGCTAAATTATGTTCCTTACCAGAATTAGACCTCAACCCAAATAAAGGGATTTGTGGCAATGCTTCCTCCAAATCCATACATCCTGAATCATCCTGACATCCCATAAAGGTGAAGATGGAACTCAGTCACCACGAGCAAGACTCTGATGGGAACTTCAAATCAGCAAAGCCGCTGGTTTTCGTGCTTGATGAACCACCAGAGGATGGAGTCAAGAAGGAGAATAAGAAACCGAAGAAAACCGCGCCAATTACAGCGAAGACGTTCGGTGCCTATGTCTCCATTCCCGGTGTGAAGGATGCAGACAACCTATGCCTGGCCTGGAGATGCAGGCCACTCTTCTTCTTTAAACTTTTTAGGGCGTGCTGGTGTTTGGTGATCCCACAAGTCTCAATTTGTACGGCAGAAGCATTCGCCCTGAGGATTGATAGCTCAGCTTCGAATTCCAAGGGGGGCAAAGTCATAATGCCCATTCGTCCCGTGGTTCTTCTGAAGCACCAGCTCGAAGTGAACAATGAGACGGTTTGCTTGGTTTGAGGCTATATCCACTTCCTGACTGAGAAGCTGTGCCAATGATGCAGTAACTCTGTAGTGGAGGTAAACCTTCCAAGAAGAAAAGGACTCGTTTCAATACACTGAAGGAAACAGCTTCCGGGAGCACATAGCCTCAAAGTGGGGCACTCTTACACTGAGTGCTACTTTTGGTTCTTGCGTTTGTAGGATCAAGCAAGTCGCTTGCCTTCTCGGGTTTGCTAAGGAACGATCCCTCGTCTGGATGTTGTTATTTACATGCTCCATGTTTACCTCGTCTGGATGTTGTCAACCAAAAAGAGTTTGTTGAAGATGGAAAGCTGAGGGGTTGGTTCCTGATGATCACAAGTTTGCCGAACAGGCCAATCAACCTGGGCAAAAAATAGATGGAGATCAACTTGTTGTTGTTTTGCAATCACTCTCCTTCCCTTTCCTTTGCCAACTGGAGGGATCTTTGTGTTTCATTGATGGAAATTCAGATTGGGACAATCTGACTGAGATCGAATTATTCTATATTTTCATCTATCAAACAACATTGCCAGGGTCATTTGTCTCATATAGACCGGAGATAGATAGTAGTAGGCCATTAGAACCATGGCGGATGAAGACGACTCCGTGACTGAAGTGCCGCTTACAGCTGCATTCCGGCCACCAGCCCCTTGGTTGACCTTACACCTTCAAATCCAATACATGAATGTTGTTGGCCCCGTCAAACCACCAACAAAAGCTGTCGTTAGCCAAGGCTTTCAACTTACAGCGGCTGATGTCTACAAACGCTTTGCCAAGCCCACCACCGCATGGAACCACCCGCCCAACTCCACCTAATTCAGCAGTATGGGCTCGCGCAGTCACACCTGATGCACCTTCGGGGGCAAGCCGTGTTGATGGACAAGGCAACAAACACTGCTGATTGGAACACCTCGGGGATTCTTTCGGGAATGGTTCCCTGTGTTTTGTCATTCCCTGTCAGGACCAGCCAATGGCCATGCTCTCCCTGGTCGTGTTGGGTCGTCCGAGGACTCATCACCAGATGCTGAAGCAAAAGCTAAACCCAAACCCAAAGGGAGGCCCAAGTCAAAGGGGAAGGCCGCAAAGAACAAACCAGTACCAGATGACACTCATGATCCGATCCATGATGAATCGGATGAGGATGGGGATCACCCTCCTCCCAGTGCGTCAGATGTGGACAATGGACTTGGAGGATCCAAGACCGGCCAGCCCTCCAAAAGGCCTGCTTCAGCCAAAGGATCCAGCAAGAAGCCTGCCCAGAAGCATCGCAAGCATGGTGGGGAGGACCCTAAAATATGCCTTGTTGTTTGTCTACATTTCGCTTTAGGATGATGTTGGTGATTCTGGTTTGATGCTGATGATAGGATGCTGAATATCAAGCTGGTGACGGATGATGATGACAGGTGTGCACGTATACTAAAAATAGATCATAGACTGATGTTAAAATTTAGATGGGATGATGGGATGGATGGTGGGATTATATAAATCAGTAGGTAGGGTAGGGAGGTATGGAGGTACGTGATGGAATTATGTGTCTTCATGTGTCTTCATGTGTCTTCCATCTTCCGATGATTGAAGTACGAGGGGCAAAATGACTCACCACCAAAACATTCCAAAAACAATAACTGGACCTGGTTCTTGCTCTACCTTTTGTTTGTCAAACAATTGCACTCCAGGACGGGCTTCATCCCGAGGATGATGCTGATATGGATGTTCCCAAGCCGTTTGAGTACGCCATTGAGAAGAAAGAAGAATGGGTTGAAGTTCAGTGTTGTCCTTAAATTTGTCCACCAAAAGGTGTTACTATGAATATTCTGCAGCACTCTCATTCCAAGGTCAATGGTACCCACAGCTCTCATGAGCCCTGACAATCAGGAAGGGCTTGAAGAACCTTATGCCGATGCCCTTTGTCTTAGGATATGACACCAACATGGACAAAGTGAGACATCAACCAAATCACCAAATCAATCCAAATCCCCTTTGCACCCAAGGTGCACCTCCCAGATGATTGCAATATGTCCGCCATGGCTGATGGGTACGGACTACCCGAGGAAGCTAGGCACTTTGTAAATTAGTTTCATGATGTCCATGAGCGTTGCAACAAAATCAGTGTGGCTTACATACCTTTACACGCACTCAATTTGTTTTAGAGAAAATGTTAGCTCCAATGTTAGCTCCATCGAGGAACCCTTATCTAATGCAAATCTGATGGGAACACGGTCTACCTCCCAGGTGCCTTGGAGCGGATTACCATTTGGCCTAACCGCGTGGGAAGAGATGTCGCATTCCAGTTCCCACAAAATGGTGAGTGATTGTTAGCTAAGGAGAACGGCGTGGGTTGCCATGATGAGGATTCCCTTGGCCTCACGGTGATTGATAGGGAGCTTTGTGAGGCAACCATGGCAGGTATTAATGCTTGCCTGCACGAGCTGGAGAGGCTTTACTCCAAACCTGACACTGCTTTGGAGGACCTGGGAAAGCTTAGTGACGCTCCTAGTCTTGGTGGTCAATTGACGCCCACAGTCCTGGAATCGACGCCCACAGTCATGGAACCGACACCCACAGTCTATGACTTGGAAAATGAGGACGAAGAGCATTCACCAAAAATTGAGGAAGGAGAGACTGGCCTTTTCTGGACCCCTACTACACCAGAAGGGGCAAAGACTGATGATTCGATTCCCGGGAGCCCCGCACCAACAGAGGGGGCAGATCCAGGGCTAAAGACTGGTGATGAGATTCGTGAGAGCCCTGGGACAGTTCCGGGGGAGGAGCATGCTGATGTTGATGTGATTCCCAAGAGCCCTACACCAAAGGGGGTAGTTGCGGGGCTAGAGAATGGTGGTGTGATTCTTGGGAGCCCTTCACCAAAGGAGGAGGCAGTTGCAGGGCTTAAGACTGGTGATGAGATTCACGAAATTCCTACACCAAAGATCGCACCATTGGGGCTGAAAACTGCACCAAAGAGATCCGCTCAGAAACCAAGATGTGGTTCGAAAGCAAAGGTTGCTAAAGCAAAACAGGTTGCTAAGGCAAAGGCAAAGCAGGGTAAGGCAACAGCAGGAAAGCTCAGTGAAGAAGCTCTAAAGAAGAAATTGCACAGTGAACCTAGGCTGCATTTCTCCAGAAAGAACATGCACGCTTTCCTGCACAATATGTAAACAGGAAAAAGAGCTTCGTTTGTACAGCTTGGCATTCCTTGCTATTAATTTTGCAGCCTCAATGTTCTCCATCAGGTCTACTCTATCGCTTTCCAGTGGGCAAAGCGCAATGGGAAGGATGTACGTGAACACGCATCAAAAGCCAGGAAGGAGCTTCTTGGCATTTCTTGGCAAAGCACCGTTATGAACCCAAACCAACTGTTTCTTGGAGATCAACATCTTTGATGAAACCCAAACATGGACTAAATTGAGGTATATTCTGAAGAATGGCTACAAGGATTATCTTTGTGCGAAGAATTTTCTGGTCTGAGATGATTCTCTTGTTCCGATGCCAATCAGTGCGTCATGACAAACAGCTGCAGGGGGAACGGCTGAAAAACATGCGCGTTTGCTGCCAGTGCGTGCCAGAACCACAAAGTAAGAGTCTCATGTTAAGGACCCACTTCCAAAATGCAAAGGACCCAGATAGGGTTGGACTTTGTTTTGTCTTTATTACCGAAGGAAAATGACTCCTACACCACTCCCTTGAACATCCCCGTCTTTGTATGGTAAGTGCGCTAAGTGGTGACCTCCTTCATGCCATCCAGGCTCATGCAGTTCATCACATTTCATCACCCCACCCCTCGGTATCCAAAGCACTCGTCTCATCCAAGATACGCGCCGCGAGGCCCAGTGGCCAAGCCCTCCAACGTGATCTCTGCCGGATCCTCCGATCTGAGCCACCGAGGAACTGAGAAGAAGGGTGGCTTCGCTGCGTCGGCGGCGAGATCGAGGTGCCGAACAGCGAGCTGCCGAACAGCGGCCGACGAGGCCTATGAGGCCGCGACTAGAATCGACCAGCACCCACTTTCGCTTGAATTGTTCAACCGCTTGATACTTCCCATCATGTTTTTTTGCATCTCCAAGATGGGCCCGAAGGTTGGACGATGACTGCTGACTGCCTGTCATGTCGGTGTCCAATCAACCTTACTCCATCTACATATCCCCCACCTCCGAAGACTTTCTTGCAAATGCTTTGCCCAACAACCACCATCTCACATAACAATCACACAATCCCATATCCCCCACATCCACACCATCCACCGACCTCCCCACCGACCCGCCGCCGTCCTCGGTGGCCACCGTCGGCCGCGCCCAGGGTTCGGCTTTTCGCACCACCTTGGAGATCTGCGCCGCCGAGACCTGGCGCCGGTCCCCGAGCTCGACCCCGCCGGCCCCGGAGGGGGCCGAGAGAGAGAGTGCGGAGGGGCCGTGAGGTGCGAAGCGAGCAATGCTGAACAAAGAGGTCTGTGAGAAAGCCATAAAAACAATGGAGAAACCTGTCCTGGACCAAAGTGAGTTTGAAGTGAGTTTGATCTGCATGCGTGTAGGCGTGAATAACGATTGGTTCGCCAAACACACTCCGCGCATTCGGTTGTGCATGTCTTCTGTTCCAACTCTCTCTCTCTCTCTCATCTATCTATCTAGCCCCACATGGTTGTGAGCAACTTGAAAGTTTCTCTGCAAGTCTTCCTTGGATACCTTTGAGAAGACAAGGAACAACATATAAAGAAATATGGCAAACCAAAAGATATGTAATCTTAAGTGGTGATGACTGGCATCGATTCCACCTTTGAGAAAACCTCATCCGATTCCACCTATACTTCTCCTGTCTCACGTCCCATGCGAGGAGAAGAACCCGGCTGCCGTCGCGTGCCCTCGCCTGAGACGGCGTCTGCTCATCGACCTGCCAAGGTTCTGGCGGCTCCAACTCCGGGGTGGTATTCATCTTCCGCAAGCCTGGCTCCAGCGGAGCGTGCTTCACAGCGTAAATAGATTGTGAGGTTTTTGATCGATTCCTTCGTATGTTTTAGTCCATCTTTTTTCCTTTATGTTCGCTCTTCAATGGTATATAGAAATTGAAAAGTAAAAATAGAAAGACACCTAGCAAACTCAAGCTGGATTCCAATGGAAACCTTCTAATTGAACTATTTGGTTGTGGGAAAAGAAATGCATGGGATGAAACGAAATGATTGTAAGCTTCGGTTCGTTTTGTCTATGTACATCCCATGCATCAAGAACAGACTATTATTTGACTTTGAAAAAACGTGGGAATATGATCCAGAAGAAGTAAGAAAATGATAGTAAAGTTAATGAATTGATATCTTAAAGTTGGACGATCAGCCATTGGCCACTATGAAAAGTCACTTTCGGCGTGCTTTCGGTGACTTCGCCGGAAGCCTCAACGACCGACGCGACGCGACGCGAGGCTCGACGAGTCGCTTCGCTTTTACCCTTCCAAGCCAGACCAGTTACCGGCTAGCTGCCCCGCTGATCGCAGTGAATCAAGGAAATGAGGCTCGATCTGTATCTTTGAAACATCCGGAATGCAGTCTCCTTGGTGCTACTGTCAGCTAAAACTGGGTGAAACACCTTGATTAAATATACATTATGCGTGAAACGAAACGTAGCTGTCACACTCACTTTGCAGCTCGCTTGCTTCAGAGTCCACGTCGGAGTGTGGTGACTCCATGATCTTCTCAGCCGTTTTGCAAGGCCCGCAAGGCTCCATGTTGCTCCTACGCAAGCGATGCTGGTGAATCCTTTTCTGCCTCCATGTGAAGAACCTGAGTGGGAGCCAAAACATTTGGATGAGCATCCACCACCAGTTTCGAAGGAGGACGATGCAAAGCCATCCTGCCCAGCTCTTGTCCGCGGCGCACTCAAGATCGAAGCTTTGGACTGGAAGATGTCGCAGGGCGCGAAGGCCTTTTGGGCCTACTGGGTTGCCCGTCATCTCCAAGAGTGTTATGGACTTGTTGTGGTTTAAGGCTTTGGCCAAATCGATCGCGCCCAGGGACTCGATTCTGTTCCACTCTAAGTTGAGATGTTTCAAGACACTGTTCACTTGCAAGGCCTTGGCTAAGGCTCTGGCCCCCCGGTTTCTTATGCCGTTGACGCCAAGGGACAGTTCTTGGAGCTTCAAATGAACTGCCAGCACATTAGCCACCGCTTCAGCCCCATCATCGCGTAGATTGCAGGCATCCAAGACCAGCTTTTGGAGCTGACGACGGGATGCCATCAGAATCTCGACTGCGGGCGCCCGCAAGGGAACAGCTGTGATGGCCACCCGCAACAGCTTTCGACGCCTGCACAAAGCCTCCACGAGGTCTAGCTGTTGTGCTTGCGGCACATACGCGGCGTCGAGCTGGAATTCCTGCATCACCTTCAGGAGTGGTATCAGTTCCAAAAGCTCTTCGACTTCGTCAAGTCTCAACCAGTTGCATCTGAACTGTTCCAAGGTCGCCACCTTTTCTTGAAAAACGGCCTTCTGGAGCTGCACAACTGGTTCCATGTCGCTCCGGTGTGTGAACTTGAGTTGTTGTGCCGCAATGCTTCTCTGAAAGGCTTGAGGCGTCCATGGAAGTGACCTACGGAAAAACAAGGCATTATACCAAGCGCAGCAGCGGAACATAAAGAAACCACTCTGCGAAATATTTACTGTATTGGGTTTGGCCCATTCATATTCAGCTCTGCACCACCCACGCCGCAGGTACATAATGTCGTTTGCGTGCAAGTTTGCACAAGTTTCGTCACACGAACTGCCGCACTTGCCCTCTACCATAGGCTTCAAGTTCCGCAAGTGCACCTCTACCACTTTGCCCTCCGCAACACTGTAGACTGGAATTGTCTTCCCCAGCCACATCTGCCTGAACCAAGAATGGAAAAGCACGTAAAAACTAACCAAATTTAGATTTAATTCTTCAACAAAATCCTGCACTTCGAGATGCCCCTACCCGCCCAGGTACACCGGTAGGACAACTGGGTCGGGATTGACTGGCAACACAGTTGCTGTGTGCGTGTATCCCTCGGGTTCGCAGGGTGTTTCATGCAGCGGGCCCAGGCAGTTGCAAGCTGCCCCTGGACCAACGAATACGGACCCACAACTGGTGAAGCGAGAAGGGGCGCCATCTTGTGTACCTGCTGTTTCCATATGCTACTGAGATGGCCAGAGAATGCCAGAGACATGGACATGTTCATGTTACCAAAACAATCGCACGACCGTGTCGCCACTTCTGTCTCAGGCAGTGCACTTAGGAGGTTCGGGACGCCTGCCATGCGCAACAGCTCCACTTACTCTCATCCACCCACAGTGTAGTTTAGATCTCCTTGCCTCCTTCCTGGTTTTACTCAGGCCCCTTTTTTCACCAAGGTTTCTTCCAGGCTTTGGCGCGTAATTCTATCTATCCTGAGTGTATGTGTGTGTGCACCTGGGACTCAAGGTTACCTTCCGGTGCTTGCTGAAATTGCTTACTTTTTGAAAGTTGAGAAGGGCAATGGCAGAGTTTGCGGAATCGCTGCCAACGAAGACGTTCCAATTCTCTGGTGAAGCATCGGGAGACGTCCTGATGTGCACCTGCTTTTGATTAGAACAGGTTCGTTTCTTTGCGCCGGTTTGCATTAAAGTGGATTTCTTCAGGGCGTGGAGCGATCAGATCGTACGCGCGAATTTCTCGAGCGCGTGTGTGCGTGAACCCTTTTGGAGTTACAGGAACCTTTTGGTAGTTTTAATGATATTTTATGAGGCAGGGGCGCACCTGTGCATTTAAGTGCAGTTGGTGGGTCCTACGTTGTTGGCCCCTGCTGTTACTTAGAACCGGCCATCGCTCCCGTTTACATCGGCAGTCGCGCATTGGGCTTTAGGGATTGAACTTCTATTTTGCGCACGTTCGTCGTCACCTGGTCGCATCGCGATCACCGACTTTGAACTTTGAGATTGCTCAAACCCCCTCACGTGACTTTCTCAGGAATATTATGGTTACCTAGGTCGCTTTGTGGCAAATGGCATTCAGTTCCGTACACATTTCCCATGTGTGTGTGTGAAAGCCTTAAAATCATAGGGCTTCCTTTGAAGTTGTTTTCTTTGTAGCAGGGGGGCGCAGGAGGCCCATAGAGCTGTGCCCATGCCATAGAACTCAGGATATGCAGCCACCTGCTCGAGCGCTAAAGTTTATTGTTCCATGGTCCCTGCTTTAGCTAGAATCTAGAACAAGAATTTTGGCCATTGCACCGGTTTGCGTCGGCAGTCAAGCATTGGTGTTTTGAGCGCTCGTCGTCACTCTGTCGCGGTTCCGCTTTTCGAGTTCGTGGGCTTTGGAGGTTTCCTGGAGGTATCAACTTACCTGAACCCTTAGGCGGTCATACCTAGGTGGGCGTGTGGCATCAGGCATTCAGTTCCGTATGCGTTTCCCAAGTGTGTGTGTGTGTGTACCCCTTGTAGTCACAGGGATCCTCTTGGATTGTTTCTGATGGTTTTTCTTTTAAAGCAAGGGGGTGCAGAGCACAGTGGAAACTGCACCCAACGAAGCTATCCACTTGTGCTGGAAGCAGAGCCTGATCAGCTCTGTGTATCTGCTTGATTTTCACTTTTGCCGAGAAGTGTCGTAAAGTGCTAGTGAGTTCTGTGGATGTGCACGCACGCCGTCATCTTGTCGATCCGAACTCGTCGATTTGGTGCTTGCGCTTTGGGCCTCACTTGCTCTTGAAGACCCCCAGGCTCTTTAGGACTTTCCTGGACCTTTCAGGATTTGGGCTTCTTAGGCTGGCGTGTGGCATGTGGCATTCAGTTCAGTACACCCAATCATAGGTGTGTGTGTGTGTGTCCCACCCTGTGTCTAAGGGCTTCTAAATTTCCCACTCGACAGCAGGGGGCGACAGGGTCACTGCATAGCTGTCGCCAACGAAGCTCTATGCTGACATACCTGCGGAAAACACACTGACACCACTGGTCCGCCCTTCCGCTGTTTCATGTTTCCATGGTGTTTTTCATGCTACTCCCCAAACCCCTTGTCAGCAGCTTTGCAGCCACTTTGCAACCGACTTTGCGTGACCGACACAGCAGTCTTGCAACAATTTTGTTGAAACACCTTCACTTGACCCAGCGATCTTGCGGTTCATGCATTCATTTCTCCGTGGATTCTCTCACTGAATGAAACCTATCAAAGTGTGCGTTGTCACATACTACATGCTCTGTGCTAATGTTTGGGTGTTATATGTGTTGTAGTTCCTTGTCCCTTGTCGTGTTGTCTGCGTTTTTGCTTGATGTTATCATTGTGTGCTGTCGGTGTTGTGGTTTGTTGCCTGTTGGTGCTACAAAACAACAAAAACAATCCAAAAACAGGTACAATGATGACCCAGGATACCACCGCTTGACACCTGGAGGTGTCAGTCTCTCCAAGCGCCACACACCCATGCAGAATTCTGCACCACTATTCGCCTCAGTGAAAGAACCCAATATCAAAGAGTCTTGGATAGGTTGATTCATCATGCTTGCACTTGATAGAACAAAAACGTGCTGGAGAACTTATGATGCCGGTTTCCTGAGTTAGCATGGCAAAACCGACACAAACTAAACTGACCAGGTCGGGGTGGATGCAAAGTGGTTCCTGTTGCCTGTCAGAGTGGCATAGAAGAGGTGCATGTGTTGCATGGCATGTTCAAAGTCCTCTTGCTCCTTCGTGCTCCGGCGAAATTGTGGTAGTGAAATGTAGTCTATGAAGAGGTAGATGTTCTTTTGGCCATAGGTCGCAGGTTCTGCCTTTTTCCAGTAGCGAAGTGCCTCCACAATGCTTCGGAGCCTTGTTGGAGTTCAAAAAACTAGTTATCAATCAAACCGAGTTGCAGCTCACCCAATTCACCCAGTCAAAAGAAATCTGTGTGCGCAACTTACAATCCAGCCAGCTCAGAACAAATTCACTGAACGCTCAAGTGGCTGGAATCCAAAAGGATCTGGATGCTCGCGAGATTCCCAGCAATGGGAGACACCAATGAAGGAGAATTCGTCTTGCGGCCCTGGCTTGTAAAGGGCTCCTAGCAACAAGTTGGGCTTGCGGGCATGAACATGTCTTTTGCCAAGTACTTATTGAAACATATCACGCAAGCACAAACTTAGATTAACTGTGGCAAAAGCCAGGCTACACAACCCTATAAAGCATGTTGCTCCTCGAATCTTGTCCGCCTCCTGCCTTCGTGGCCAAACGCCGCCAGCTCTGCTCAACTTTTCCAAGAACGTCGATCTAACCAAGCCAATATTCGAATCGATCACGTACTGTCGAAAGTCCTCGGTTCGAGAGCAACACCGCTGATCGCAACTCTGCACAACCCTTACTGTATGTTTCGACCCGGGATCTACATGCGATGGTGGAACGCTGTTAGCTATGAAACTGAAATGAAGCATAGTGCCCATGCGTGGCAAAGCACTCTAAGACTTTGTTGCATATTCTGTCTGGATTCTTCCCAACCACCATCTATCCATATTACATTATTGTGGTAAAGCTTATAGATTCAAATCAAAAGATACAAACATGTTGCTTGTCTCAAAGAATCCTCAAAGGAATTCAGTTCGTACTTGCCGCTTTGAGCTATTCTTTTAACAGCCCTCCGACGCCGCTTCTCCTTCTTCTCCTGCAACTCCCTTAGCTCCCTTGGCTCCCAGCTTGCCATGGCAACGCGCTGGGAAGCTGTTGGCTGTTACCACCGATCTGATTGCGTTCAGCTGAGGGAGGGCAACTATTTCCCTGTCTACGTTGGACTGGTTAGACTGTTGGGCGTTGTGCTTTGAAGCTGAAGTGAATGGCACTCTGATGAGCTCAAGGTTGATTGACTTACTCCCACCAGGCCCAAAGCCAGAGTTTCTGATGGATTGGGATGGCAACTACCCAGTATCCTGGTGATTCACCAAGTTCCGAAATATAGTATGGTATCAACAAATAACAACTCAACTTGTTTGACCAGGTGTGGTCAAACCTGAACGTGCATGCGCGTTCTGCACTTGAACCACAGAAGTTGGAGACCACCAAGTCAGTCCTTTAGTCTTGGTCTCCACATGTCTCCACTACTAGTAACAAAGAGTGTTTTCCACTCTGGGTCAGAATGATGAAAACAAAAAACATACGAAAAGCAGCCAACCAGACATCGCTCAGCCACACGCGCTGCCGACGCTGCCTGAGGCACTACGTGCAAGAATCTTGCCCCGCCAGTTGCGATTCTCGCTGGGGACTTCGGCGTCCTCGGCCGGAAGGTGTTTGGACTGTGAAAGTAAGCCCTTGAGCAGAATGAGATGCTCCAATCAACCTGAAAGCTGCCGAATGCTAAAATCGTCGCAGACCTCCAAGAATACTTCAGCCCGGGAGAGCATCCTTGAGGGGGGTACTGCTTGCGAGATAGGTGCTTGTGACAATGCTGGAGACGCTGGCGCGCCGGCGTTAGAAGCATTGTTTGTCGATATGTTTCTCAAGAACCTTTCGGCATGCAGCCCCTAAATATAGAAAGGGTGACTGCGAAACCTGCCAAATCTGTGGGAAGACTCAGGTCTTTTGTAATAATCCTTCAAAAATCCACAAAGATTCAAGCTCCCACTCCCAAAGCCCTCAGTTCCCAGCTGAAGGCAGTGACACTTGGTCTGAGCTCTGACTCCGATCGGCCTGCGTTCGTGACACGGTCGCTGGAGAAGCCGAGCACCGGGGTCCTGTAGTCGGATGGTCCAATATTCTATCCCCCATCACAAACATAAATTCGAAACCCCTGTGTCAACCTGCAAAAACCACCAGGAACTTTGGAGCAGCAAACTGAGTCCTCTGGAAATCAAACAGAACAGATTTATATATATATATACATGCAGTGGTTTCGGAGTAGATGGCACAAACCCCAAGATGTCTTTTAGATCGGGTCCATGTAACCAATTTTTGGGGATTGTGCCATCTACTCGCATGTGAGTGTGAAACACGTGCATGTCTCCCTGACCTTCTAAGGTGCCGCCGTCCAACATCAAGATCACAAGCGGCTAGGTAGTATGCGTTTCTGGCAAGCTGTTGCCTTGCAGCTAAAGGAAGACGGTTTCCAGAAGAGCGGTGCTCGCCGCTTGAGGTGTGTGGGTGTGAGTCGGCTACGAAAGGGTCTCGTCCGCCCGAGGAAGCCTGTGACTCTTGTTGCTGGAGGTGCATTCGTTGCTGGCTTGACTGTAGGCGGAGGACTTGTTGTGCTGGTGAGGCTCCAATATCCCAGAAAGACGAATGAGCGGTCTCTTTGGCGACATGAGGCGGAGCTGGAGTCGTCTCGAGCGCTGACAGCTGGGAGTCGAAAACTTCTATGGTACGATGATGATGATGATGTGTGGCATGAAGCCATGGTCACCTAGTTGGGGGGGTACGAGGTCTTCTTTTTTTTAAATACCCCTGACGATGACATGTGTGTGGAGAGTTTGAAATGTGATGGAGTTGAGGGGCCAAGCAAAATGAGAAGACTGGTGCAGAACACTCGCCTTCCTCGCCGTTTGCCTGGACATGCCTATCGCATCCTATGGCCGCTTTTCGAATCCGATGACCTGAAGGCATCGCAAAGGACGCAAAGGACTGAAGGTGGTGGAGGAGACAAGAACGGGGCGAAGCTCTCTCCTCCTCCTGTCGTCCGAAACAAGTTCGGAGAACAACACACAGGAGAACACAGCTGCTACAGACCGCTGCTTGGGACGTAGAAAAAACACAACAGCTGCAACAAGCAGCTGTGATTGCTACAGATGCTCTCTTTGGTGGAACCTTCCTGCCTCGGTGCCTGATGGCCAAAGGAGGCGATGAGACTGGACCAGGTGGATCTAGCCCCAGACTCTCCGAAGCATGCGAAAAAGGTAGAGGAAGCGGCAAATGACCATGTGTGGGTAGCTGCTGAACCTATTGGTGGCTTGAAGCTTGGTCAGGAGCCTCAAGGCCTCAACCGATGTGCAGGTTGGCAACAAGACAGCCTTGGCCTTGAGTCAAGACAGAGATGGTGAAAATCACGGAAGTGCCAGAGTATGCTGCCAAGAGGAGGGGGCTCTTTGCGAACACTCCCTCCAAGGACACCCTTCCAGCTGCACAAGTGGAGCTGGGTCTCAGGAAGCCGAGGAGAAGGAGCCTCATGGAGATGTGAGAACCCTTTGGGTGGACTTCGATGAGCATGCTTCGAGCGCTTTAAGAGATGGAGGGACGTGGTGAGAACGAGAGTTTCACGTCAACCTTTGATGAAAAGATCTTGAACCGACTTTCTACCGCACTCCACATCAAACACCGTCTCAGGCGACCCTCGTCTCTGGCTTCAGAATGTGGCAAGCTCTGACCGAGAGCAAACGAAAGAGACGATCTCACACATTCGAAGACAGCGAGGACGAGAGTGGCAGCACATCATCCGAGCGAAAAGCGGAAAGAGCTCAGATGCGGAAAGAAGCGAAGCGTCGTTGGGAGGCCAAAAGGCTTGTTGAAGGTGGTCGACCAAGTCATGGAGGGAACCAAAGAGACTCAAAGCCTTCTGGAGACCTTTGACCAAAAAGGTGAGAAAGCATTACGACAAGTATGCAGAGCTGGTAGGGCGTTCGTGTCTTCTACACCGCATTCCTTTTGTCAAGGAGGATGTCGACTATGCTCTGGTGAAGTTCTTCAACCTGAAATACCTGGAAGGAGAGGGAAGTCATTTTGGAGACACCACCATGGCAGCGCTGATGGACAAGCAGCCTCGCTTCGGCAGGGGGGGATCGTCCAGTTCCGGTGGAGAAGCTTGAAGGGGTGGCACGAGCTGTGCCAATCTCGCTCGAGGCTTGCTGACCCATTTGCAGTGTGGTGTGGAATCAGCTAGAGGATGGTCGAAAGGAAGGATGATCAAGTATCAATGCCGCTGGCAGAACATGGGTAACATGGGTGTGTGCGTGTGCTCAAGAGAAGGAGACCTCCCACTTCGACCCCTTGGAACAAGGAAAACAAACCGCTCCATCTTTCTCTCGGGTCTCGGGGCTTCTCCCTATGTATCTAAACCATTCGAAAGAATTCCAAATACCCTAGAAGTCCAGTTCGACGATATTTTGACTGGCTGGAGTAAAGGAAGCTCCCGAACTCAGGTCCCCGTTCGTCAGACCATTCTTTCTAGAGTCGACTTGACTTTGAGGGAATGCCGAATGTCAGGGTTTCTGGAGTTGGAGTTGGTCGAGTCGCGGAGGTGCAGAAGTCGTTGCTCTGGGACATCGTTCGCCCTTAATGGGTGACCCCTAACCTTCACAAGTTCAAATCAAGAAGCTAAAGCGGATGACCTGCCAGTTGCCTGGTCAAAGTGGATTGATCATTGCTGAGGAGGCCACTTTGCACCGAATACAAGGCACCCAGAAGGTGTGGCTGTATTTGAAAGGTTTTCGCCCGGAGAAAGCCCTGGGTTTGTTGCCCCTAGATTCTAGATAGAATTCAGGAGGGTGGCATGAGAGAGCGCAAACGTGCAGGCAATCCCCTGGCCGATCCAGGATCGGACGCTCAAATTTTAACCCGGTAATCACGTTGACCGTGAGCAGCCTGCAACCTCGCGAAACCTAAAAACTGCAAGGCAGTACCATCCTGGCCTTCAACCGCAAGGATTTTTTTGACCTGGTTGTAGTCCAACATCCTTAGTAAAACAATGGTTGCTCGGGATTCAGGCTATTAAATCATATAAAATCTATAGTGGTTCGAATCCTAGGATGACTCTTCAACCTATCACCTGAGAGGCCTGAGACATGCCTGAGACAGATCAAAAATCGAAGCCTCCTGAGCTGGTGTGGCCTCAAAGACCCAAAAAAACAGGCCGTTCGTCTTCCGTTCCTCTTCCGTTCGGTCGCACCTGTCCTTTCCGGCTCAAAAACCGCCGATCTCCCACGGGAAGCGCCTTGAGAATACCTCTCGGCTTCACAGGCAGTCGACGGTCCACTTCAGCCTGAGCAGAGCTCGCCAGCCGCGGCGTGGCAAAAAGAAAGGCCCGTGGCGGGGGTGCGAGAGCTTCAAGTCGAGAGCAGGCTAGTAACGTTTATAGGGGATATGAGAGCACAAGGAAAATCATATCGAAGTCCAAAAAGGGACTTGAGATGGAGAACTGATGGCCCAAAAATGTCCAAAATGTATCCATCCATCCCAGAATTGTCTCTGGAAGACCCTCCAGGAGTAGGGAGACTAGGCAGCCGGCAACTTGCACAGGGCCCTCCAGAACCAACCCACCTGGGCCCCAAAAGGATTCATGATACTTCATGATCACCTGATTGATGGTATCAGCTCACAAGGAAACCCTCTAGGAAACCCTTTATTACGCAGTGTTTCTTGGTGTTTCGTTTTCTCTAGGTCTCTCCTTTTCTCAGCAAATCCGAACAGCTCAACTCAACGAATGATATGTTCCTCAACCACAAAAAAAACAAAAAACATGTTCCTTGTGGAGGTTATTTATGTGATGTGTCTTTTCCTCACCATCGCTTCATCACGCCTTCTCCTTTTCCATGCTTTCAACCAGCTGCTGCGCTCGCAACCTGAACACGAAAAGCGCCGTGTTCCCGCGCCAGGAGTGCGTCTAGCGCCCTGGAATGACCCCGAGGACCAATTGGAACTTGGCAGATTAAAGTCTCTTCTTGCTTTTGCCGGAGCTTGAAACTGTACAAGCTGAATCATCTAATGGAGTGGTATAGGTGTCACCACTGGTATCCCACTGGAGGTGGATCATGCCATTCCCATGTGAGCGTGTATTGGAAGAGGGAGGCTTCAGACACATCCCCAAGAAAGTGAAAGATGCACTGGAACCCAGTGGGCAAGGGGTTTTCCGAAACCAGAAAGGAATATGAACTAGTCTGCATGGATGTGCATGTTCTGCCCCAAGTCGAAGCCGAAACTATGAGGCAAATGCCCATGTTTCTGGTTTGTCTGGTGAAAACACGTCCTGCCAAACTCTTTCCCCACCTCAGCACCTTCAAAAAAGGGGGTCTTCAACGCGCCTGAAGGTACAAGGGAACCCGCATGTCGAACTGTATGTCCTGGTTTTCACCTGGTGTTTGATTTCGCTTGCCAATCAGCTCACAATGGCACAAGGTCTGAAATAGTCATGAAACTGAAAAATGCCCCCTTGGCTTTGGATGACCATTTTTTAACAAGCAGGTGGTTTTCCACTTCCACGATTCAGTGACTGCTTCAGGTGAGCGGGATGATTTGTGGATCACGTGGTGATACGTTTGCTTCTAGTGTGTGGGCAGACCGTGCGGCGACACGACGCGCGTGATGTCGCAGTGCCATTGAGATTTGCGCAGCCTTGGTGGAAAGTGCGTTTGCAAGGCACTGTGCCGCTGGGGAGCGCGAAACAGGCTGGTGTACACGGTGTAAACGCGGCGTGTCGCTGGTGAGCGGGATGATTGGTGGTATCAAGAGTGTCCCAAAAGAGTGCCCCGCAAGAGCTTCCTACAAGAGTGACTCAGAAGAGTGTCCTACAAGAGTGTGCCACAAGAGTGTCCCACAAGAGTGTCCTACAAGAGTGTCTCACAAGAGTCTCCCACAAGAGTGTCCCAGATAGAGTGTCCCACAAGAGTGTCCCACAAGAATGTCCCGTATGAGTGTGCCACAAGTGTCCAACAAGAGTGTCCTACAAGAGTGTCCTACAAGAGTGTTCCACAGAGTGTCCTACAAGAGTGTCTCACAAGAGTGTCCCACAAGAGTGTC